GTCATTTCTAGATCCATCTTGAAATACAATGTTATCAGGACAATATCCATACACATACAAAGAAGTCAAATGAATACCACTATAATCCAAATATATCTATATCTATGTATCTATATATCATCTATATATCTATATCTATAGCTACCTCAACAACAAGAGCCAAAGAGGAGGAAATAGGAGATTTCTATCAAGTTTTGTGGTCAGAGATCAATTGAATATGCATTAATAATATTGTGGGACTGGAAAGAAAAATATGGAAAGAGAGGAGAATGATCAGTAGTCAGAACACATAGACTTGGTGACAGAAATGATGATGGAGATAGAATGATGGAATTCCGTACAATTAATTATATAGTCATTGCAAATACCTTTTATAAGAAACATAAAGGCAGACTATACACATGCATTTCAATTAATTGTATACCTATAAATCACACTGATTACATCTGTGGAAAAAATTAGTGGAGAAGCTCAATATCATATCTGAAAACTAGGCCACGTGCTGATTCTGGAAAAGACTGTCAACTACCCATATGCAAGTTCAAATTAAAGCTAAAGAAGGTTAAATAAAATCCACAGGAGCCAAAATTTGACCTTGAGTCTATCCCTCCTGAATTTAAAAACCATCTCAGAAACAAGTTTGAGGCCTTGAACATTAATGAGCAAAGACCAGATGAGCTGTGGGTGGATATCAAGAATGTCATCCAGGAAGAATACAAAAGATCATTACAAAAACAGAGGAGAAAGAAAAGACCAAGATAGATGTCAGAAGAGACTCTGAATATTGCACTAGACAACCAAGAAGCCAAAGCAAAGGGAAGAATTTAAGGAGCTGAACAGAAGATTTCAAAACGCAACCAGGAAGAGAAAGTAAAGCATTATAACTAAAAATGCAAAGAACTGGAGTCAGAAAATAAAAATGGCCAAACTCGCTTAGCATTTCTTAAGCTGAAGGAATTAAAGAACAAATTCAAGCCTCAAGTAGCAATACTTAAGGATGTGTTTGGCAGAATATTAAATTATCCAGAAAGCATTAAAAGAAGATGGAAGGAGTATACAGAGTCACTGTACCACAAGGAATGGACTGACACAAAAGTATTTCATGAAACACATATGAGCAGGAGTCTATGGTGATGAAGAAGTTCAAGTTGCTCTGAAGGAATTGGCAAAAAATAAGGCTCAGAGTATTGATGGCATACTATTGGCATGTTTCAACAAAAATATACTGCCCTGGATGTGCTTGCTAAGTTGTGCCAAGAAATCTCAAGGACAACCATCTGGCCAACTGACTGGAAGAAATCTATATTTGTTGTCATTCCAAAGAAATGTAACTCAACAGAATGTGGAAATTATCAAACAATATCATTAATATCACATGAAAGCAAGATTCTGCAGAAAATTATCCAAAAATGACTGGAACAGCACATCAACAGAGAAGTGCCAGAAGTGCTGGTTGGGTTTAGAAGAGGCCATAGTATTAGGGATATTGTAGCTAATGTTAGATGGATTTTGGCTGAAAGCCAGGAATGCCAAAAGAATGTCTGTGTTTCATTGACCAGGCGGAGGCATTTGACTGTGTGGATCACAACAAACTGTGGCTCTGAGAAGAATGGTAATCCCAGAACACTTGATTGTGCTTATACAAAATCTATACTTGGATCAGGAGGCAATTGTCAGAACAGAGCAAGCAGACACTGCATGGTTCAAAATCAGGAAAGGTGTACAGCAGGGATGCATCCTATCTCCATACCTTTTCAATCTGTATGCAGAACAGATCATGTGGGAGTCTGGGTTCTATGAGAAGAAATGTGGCATCAGGATTGGAGGAAGACTCATAAACAGTCTATGATATGCAGATGACACAACCTTGCTTGCTAAAAACTAAAGAAGATCTGAGGCATTTGCTGCAGAAGATCGAGGACTATAGCCTTAAAAGTATAGAATATCAACATTAAGAAAACAAAGATTCTCACCACTGGGCTGATAGATAGTAGATTGAGAGTGTTAACAGCTTTAGTTTGCTTGGCTCCACAGTCAACACTCTTGGTACCAGCAGCCAGGAAATTAAAAGACAAATTGCATTGGGAAAGTCTGCTGTCAGGGACATTTCCAGAGTATTGAAAGAGTAACAATGTCAGCCTGGAGACTAAGGTGTGCCTGATCCAAGCCATGATCTTCAGAATTACTTGCTATGCATTCGAAAGCTGCACAATGACTAGGGATAATAGAAGGATAATTGATGCCTTTGAGTTGTACTGGAGAAGAATATTGAATCTACCATGGACTGCTTGGAGAACAAACAGGTTCATCCTGGAGAGGGTAAACCCAGGCTGCTCTTTGGAGTCAAAGATTCTGAAGCTCCATGTGACAAACTTTGGGTATGTTGCAAGGAGGGACCAATCTTTGGAGAGGGACATCATGCTTGGAGGGTGGAGGGACAGCACAAGAGAGGAAGACCCTCAATGAGATAGATTGACTCAGTGATTGAGGTAATGGGGATAGATGTGTCAGAGACAATAAGGTTGGCTCCAGATAAAGCAGGGTTCAGAGCTGTTGTACATAGTATCGCTGATTTGAAAGTGACTCAAAGGCACACAACAACAATATCGATATTGGGATTGCTTTGAACACATAGATTGCTTTTGGTAGGATTTTCATTTTCACAATATTGAGTCTTCCTGTACATGAACAGGTAGCATTTTTCCAATTAGAGAGACCTAAATATCTATCCACTCTTTCCCCATTCTCTCCCCAACTCCTTATGTCTGTGTTATTTTATAACAGCAGCATTATTCAGTATTTGTTCTTTTGTGACTGAAATATTTCACTCAGCATAAATGTCCTCCAGCCTCCCTCATGTTTTGTAATGTTTTATGACTTGTTTTTCACTGCTACATAACATTCCATTGTGTGATTGTACCATAGTTTTTCTATCCATTTGTTTGTTGGTGAGCAAAGGGGTTGCTATTGTGAATAATGCAGCAATAAACATTGGTGTGCATTAATCTCTTTGAGCAGTGGCTCTGGTCTCTTTAGGGCATATTCCCAATACTGGAATTTCTGGGTTAAATGATATTTCTATTTCCAACTTTTTGAGAGAAAAAGAAAAGTTGCACCAGACTGCCTTCCATAGTGGCTGTACCATTATACATCCTCACCAGCAGTGAAAAAGTTCCAATCTCCCCACAACCTCACGTCTGTGTATTGTTTCCTGCCCTGTTTAACTTTGCTGTTGCTGTTGGGATGAAGTAGCATTTTAGCTTTGCTCTTACTTAGCATTTCTGCTTTTCCTCTTTGTCTTTCATAAATGTATGCTACTACACAGTTAGGTGATGAGGGCTGCTTATCCCATTCTCACACTTTGTGTGTGTGTGTGTGTGTGTGTGTGTGTGTGTGTGTGTGTGTGAAGGTTCCACTAAGCAGAGAAGTACAAGTCAACTCTCCTCAATCACTCCTTGTAAAGGTTAAGTTAACTGGTCCAATACTCTCTTGAGCTTGCTGTCATCCGTTTACCAGCATCTACAGAGTAAACATTGATTACACTTTAATATTGGTGCCTCAGTCATAAAATATAAATAATTGATCTTATTGCATTAAGTATGAAAAATAGGAGGTAAAAAGTACAAAGGTAAATCTAGCTCAAGGTCAGCATGCAAGCTTGTGACTTCCTCCATTGTATCAAATAAAGGTTTCTGCACATTCCACACAACCGCCTGGCCAAATCCATGGAGGATTTGTAATTGTGTGTGTCCACACAGAACCTCATTGCATTACACAGCTCACGTTATCAACATTGGCTGCCCAGATAACTGGCTGGAAGGAATGGTAAAACAGCCAGGCAGGGTCATTCTGTCTTAATATTGAAGTCAAATCTACAAAAGGCATAGTGGAACAGATATTTGAGAAAAACACAGTTACCGCAAATGAACACGAATCTGGAGACAGACTTCCTGTTTATGACTCTCAGCTTCACCACATTATTGTTAATTATCTTTTCTTTTCTCAGAGACTGTCTCTAAAATAATGTTAACACTGGCACCTGTCACAGAGGGTGTTTGCGGACTTTGAGCTTAAACAGTCCCTCCCACTGTAAGAGTCCTGTGTCTTTACAATTGTTGGGGTTGTTGATATTGGTACTAATTCTCCTGCTGATATTAGAGACCTAGATTTTAATGCCAGCCTCACCACTAACTTTATTGTATTCTCCTTAAGAAAACTTGCTGGACTTCAAAGCTGTCATGTGTAAAATACTCCAAGATTTCATTGCATTTTTTTCTAGAGTGCCAGTTGGTGCTATATCATCAGGCACTTGGATATTTGAGCTAAAATATAAAGGGAATGCTTTTGACCTGAAATAGCTGGGTAAACATCTTAGGGCTCAAGTTCACTGAGCACACAGCACAATCACCTCATGTTTCATTCTGGAAAGAAAAAAAAAGAATCATTTTATCAGAGAGTTATATCCTAAGGAAAGGGTCAGAAGACTGAATGTTGTTGTGTACCATCAAATTCAAACCGACCCATAACTGACTCTCCAGCAGGTTTTTAGAGACAGTAAATCATAAAGGTGGAGATAGCTCATCCTTCTCCCTAAGAATTGAAGCGCAGCTTCTAACCACTAGACCATCGGAGCTCCCTGGAGACCTAACATAGATCTTTATTCTTACTAAAATAACTTGTGGAAGTCATTGACTCTAGAAGAATCTGATCTCCTTAAGCTTTAATTTATTCTAACTTTACTAGATATGGAAATCCAAATTTGGTGTCTCTAAAATCTTGGGCACAACAGGACACCCTGTAAATCCTCACTTTTGGAACTGGGGTTATATTGTTGAAAATATGCTCTTAAATTAAAACTTGTAATAAAGCTAAATGATGGGTTGGGTGGGAAAATACATACACAGATACACACCTTTGTGACTGAATACATTATAATGATGATTGAAAAGATTTGGTTAATATAATAAATGAGAACTTTTAGTCTTTTCTTGTTGTTGCAGACAAAAGAAGCAAATGAAAGCCTGCAAGAAGATGAGGAAGATGCTGTTGTGGACTCTGCATTTCAGAGCCACGTCCTAGGTAAAAACGCATGCCTGGTCCATCTTTAACTGTGGGACAATGTCTACATGCTTTCATCTTTATGACACGGTGTGTTCCTGGGCATCAGGTCTAGAAGAGACTGAATTTTAACTTCACACATGGTTAGTGCCTATATAAGTGAAGTCAGTGGCCTGGTTTGACTTCTCTTGGTCAAAGAACTGAACTAAGTGGCTAACAACAGAATGATCAGCCATGGATGAATGCTTTGGTTTGAGCCTGGTTATGTCCTCCTCAAAATAACCCCAATGTAAGCCAAGCCCTGGATAAAGCATATAGCTGGGAGGAAGGGCATTTGGAAAGAAGTGAAAGTGAAAGCAGATAGTCTCTTTAGAAAATATATGACCCCAAGTAAAGAAGGGGCCATCCTCCCAGGAAGGGAAGCAGCTGGGAGGTCCAGTATCTCTGAGGCGGGGTGGTTATATACTGTGGGCTTCCTTATTTGGGCGTGCCTTGGGGCGGGGGGGGCTGGGCCAATGGGATGATGTCATGAAGAGTTTGAACTATGATGGGTGATCCCTATTTAAGCCATTGTTCTTGCATCTTTCTTGTGTCTAAACTAACTAACTATTTTACTTTGACCGTAGTCTACCTTTACTGCACATGTCAGGGCTGAGGTACTATGTTTAAGGCTATATTGTGACTGACTGCCTCTGAAAACCTGCCAGAGCATCAGTTGTGGGTCAGTTCCAACTCAATGGTACACAACAAGAAGAAGAAGAAGCAAACATGACCTTCTGCCGCCTCATCAGTATTTGTATCAACATTCTTGTATCTTAGGTTCTGTCTGACTTTGCCTGATTCTGACCTTAACAGTTATTGTCTGTATCTTCAAAACTGAAAACTACCCTAAAATAAGGTAGTCAAAGCAGTTTGAAGAAAGCATTGCAATGTCTTTTAGTTCAAGACAAAAAATACAAGGAAATGAGCTGACGATTTCCAACTTGATAAGAAGTGAAAACTTATCAGTGCAAAAATAGAATTGACTCTGAGTCTAAATAATGTCCCTCTGAGAAGCATATTAACTCTGAATTAACCCTATCTCTATTACTGCATCCAGAAATATTTATTGTAAACATTTATTGAGTGAAGATGGGAAGTGGTAACTACCTACATTAGATATTTTTTCCATTGAGTATTTTTAAGCATAGAACCAAATAAATGAAATATAGTTTTACATAATCTTCAGCTTGTGTTTCTCATCACTGCAATTGGTTAGAACTCTGATTACAGATATGTAGTGCTGTCTCTGAGATAACTCTGGCATGCCAGCTATACCTTGAAATTGTTCATGGTCCCAGACTTCAGAGTCAGGTTCCCAATGCAGAGGGACTTTGCTGTTACATTTTCAGCAGCCAGGAGGTAACTGGTGATAGAGGAACTGTCTGTGATTGTGATCCTTGTCAGGAGATAGAAGAGATGATAACTTTAATAGCTCCTGGCCACCTTAGACACATAAAGAATGAGTTGTTTCTCAGCCTCTGAAAACAGCTGGGAATGTTTGCATGCAGATTATCTAGCTCTTCCCAGACACCAATGCAGGACAGAATGAATCATTTCTCCAAATCATATTTGGGCAGAGGGTTAGAGTGAGTGCTGGACTCCAGACCATGACAGGTCCTTCAGGTTTCGGGTTCCGGCGCAGTCATTATGCCCAGATCCTATCTTTCCACTAGCTGCCAGGGCTCAGCATCCCACTGCTCCTGGACCCATGATGGTATGGTCTCTGCCTATTGTCTAGTGTATGCAGCATCCCACAAACTATTACTTACAGTTGCCTCAGGAAATTGTTGTACCCTACAGTTTAATGAGACTGGTGCCCTGTTATTCTTCTTCTCATTTATAATTGGGGATGAAAAAGTCCTAACAAACAGCTAAATGAGTGCAGCCTGAGTAAGATTATTATTCTAAAAGGGTGTCCTTTATTATAGTTGTCAATGGAAAAGGCTTAAATTGGTATCAGTTCTGTGTAGTTAGCTAATAACACAAGTTGTATACTGTTTTCTAGACTTCAGTCTTGACGATATGCAAAGCCCTACTGAGTCATCATTTTTCCCTAATGAGGCATTCTTGATCCTGTAAAATGTATAAAACTAGAGGCTGAATATTTCTCAAAGAAGCATACCCATCTAAGTATTTTTAAGTGCGCTAGCAATCCCCTAGTTCTCTACTATCGAATATGGTCACCATTAACCACATGTGTCTATTTAAATGGAATGAAATGAAAAAATTCACTTTCTCCATCACACTCACCACATGCCGGGGCTCAGTGGCTACATATTCAATATGTTCTGCGTGATCATTTTCAACACTGCAGAAAGTCCCCTTGGACAGCGCTTCCCTAGATTGCTCAGCCCCGGTTATGTGCCATCAAATCAATTCCAACTCATAGCAGACACATGTGACAGAATGCAAATGCCCCATAGAAGGGAGCTCTGGTGGCCTAGTGACAAGGAGTTGTGCTGCAGTCCCAAAGGCCCACAGTTTGAATCCACCAGATGCTCCGCTGGAGAAGGAGAGGCAATCTCCTCCTGTGGCAGTTGGATCTGATTCGACAGCACACAGCAAGTAATAAAAAGAAAAAAAACCAAAAAATTTAAAAAAACAAACAAATGCCCCATAGAGTTTCCTAAGTTGTAATCTTCTTAAAAGTAGATCTGCAGGTATCTTCTCCTCCAGAGCCACTGGTTGGTTCAAATGACCAGCCTTTTGACTTAGTACTTAACCAATGAAGCAGGAGGAGAATGTGGTGCTGGCAAGGAATAGTGCATGGACTGCCACAAGAGCAAACAAACCTGCCTTGAAGGAAATGCAGCTGCACTGATTCTTAGAAGCAAGGATGGCAAAGCCTTCGTTGCACACACTTTGAGTGTGTTGCCAGAATGGGCCAGTCTTTATGGAAGGAAATCAGCAAAATGGAGGAACACCGTCAGCCAGCCAGATTGACACAGTGGCTTCAACAATCAGCTAACACATAGCGTAGGATGTCAGGAAGTGGGAAGATGGTGCAGGGCAGGGTTCAAATCTGTTGTTCATAGGGTTGCTATAGATTACACTCAACTCAACGGCACCTAACAGCAACAACATAGTGGAAATTACTAGGATTTTAAGGATTAGGCAGGGTTTGGTTCAGTTATACATGTTGTCATGTGCCATCAAATTGCCTGTGACCTATAGTGTTCTTTTGTACAGCAACTCTGAAGCCTGTCCTGTCCTGAGCCAGTCTCACTAGTTCCAGCACAACAACCTCAATTACCCCAGTTACTGTATCAATTCATCTCATCTGGGGTCTTCCTCTCCTGTGCTGTCCTTCCACCCTTCCGAGCATGATGTCCTTCTCCAAGGACCGGTCTCTCCTAGCCACATGCCCAAAGTATGTGAGACAGAGCTTCAAAATTCTAGCCTCCAAGGAGAGACTTGGTTTTACCCTCTCAAAGACAGATATATTTGTTTTCTTGGAAGTAGTCTGTGATATGTTCAAGGCTCTTCTCCAGCCTCACAACTTGAAGGCATCTATTCTTCTTCTGTCATCCTTAGTCATCCAGCTTTCTGATGCATAGCAAGTAATGATGAAGGCCATGGCCTGGATTAGGTGCACCTTAGTCTCTAGACTGACATTGCTCAACAAGGATCTTCCTCTCCTGAGCTGTCCCTTCATCCTCCAAAGCATGACGTCCCTCTCCAAGGACTGATCCCACCTTGAAACTAGTATTAAGTATAAAAAAAAAATTCCTAAAAAAATATGAGACTTAGAAAGTCCTGGAAAGTGAAGAAACTATGAGTTAATGAATTTTCAGAAATCCTGAAAATTGAGTGATATCCACCAAAACACAGATGCATGGTAAACTTTCGTGAAATGAATGGTACTTGTTTTGCCCACCATCCTAAAAGATTTACAAAGAAAAAGCTACTCAGTCATCCAATAGCCAAATGTCTAGTTGGTGTTAAGTGTCATAGTGACCCTATGCACAGTAGCTCTGAACTCTTCCCTATCCTGAGCCAATCTCACATCTCCAACACTTCTATCCCATTACTCCATTTATGGAGTCAATCTGTCTCATCCAGGGTCTTCCTCTCTTGTACTGTTCCTACACCCTTCTAAGCATGATGTCCCTCTCCCAGGACTGGTCCCTCCTGGCAACATGCCCAAGGTATGTGAAATGGAGCTTCAAAATCCTTGCCGCCAAGGAGTAGCATGGCTTCACCTTCTTCAAGACAGACCTTTTTGTTCTCTTGGCAGTCGATGGTATATGCAATACTCATTGGACGAGGTACACCTTAGAGTCTAAACTAACATAATTGCTCATCAGTACTCTTGAGAGGTTCCTGATAGATTTTTCCCAATGTATTTCATCTTTTGATTTCCTGACTGCTGATACCAAGAAGGTTTAACTGAGCAAGCTAAAATTGTTAATAACGTCAATCTCTTCTCCATCTATCATGGTGCTGCCGATTGGCCCAGTACTAAGAATCTTTGTTTCCTTGTTGTTGAACTTCAATTTATATTGAAGTCTTTGACCTTCTACAGCAAAGACATCAGGTCCTCTGCAGTTTCAGCAAGCAAGGTCATGTCATCTGAATAACTCAGCTTATTGATGACTCTTCCTCCCATCCTGATGCCACAGTCCAGGCTTCCAAATAATCTGTTTGATGTTCAGATTGAAAATGTATGGAGATAGGATGCATCCCCGACATACACCTTTCCTGAATTATGCAGTATTTCCTTGCTCTGTTCTGAAGACTGCCCTCTGGTCCAAATATAGGTTTTGCATGAGAACAATTAAGTGTTCTGGGATTCTCATTCATCTCAAGGTTAGCTGCAATTTGTTGTCATCCACACATTCAAATGCCTTTGCATTGTCAATGAACCACAGATAGACATTCCTCCAGTACTCTCTGCTTTCAGCTAAGATCCATCTGACATTGGTTCTAATGTCCCTACTGAAAAAGTTATTAGCGCTTCAAATGTCTGAAACGTATAA